TAATTCTCTTCATTAATTACTATTCTATCTTCTATTGATTTCTCGCTTCTCACGCTAATCAGTGCACATTTTCAGTCTTTTTATTATCTTTTAGGGTAGTGAGGGTTTCAGTACAATTGCTGAATTGTCTTTGTTAGTTTCTTCTTTATCTCAAAAGATAAAGAAGTTCTGCAAAATGTCCTTGTGGTCTATAAATTCAGCATTCCTTGTGTCCAGTTTCAGCAATATATCCAGTATTACTCTCCCCCAGGCTTTGTTCATTGAAGCACGTCAAGGCTGTGTTACAGTTGTTTTAGCACAGCTTAAAGTTCCAGCAATTTTCCCAAACCACGTTCTCCCACAACAGCAGCCTTGAGGAGAAGCCTCGCTAAGTGCCGGCTGCAGTGGCAATTATGACTCATTAAAACGATTAGAAGAGTTCTTAGGGAAGGTTGTGGTGTCATTTCCGACGCGCTGACTCGGGTTCCTGTGTTTCCCAGCTGCTGAATGAGCTGAAGCCGGGCGGGAGGCTGATCCTGCCCGTTGGGCCCGAGGAAGCCAACCAGGTCCTGATGCAGTACGACAAAACCAGCGACGGGCACATCGTGGAGACCCAGCTCATGGGCGTCATCTACGTCCCTCTGACTGACAAGGAAAAGCAGTGGCCTCGGTAAAGAGCTGCTCTTCCCCGAGGAACATTCCTTCTTCAGCTGTCCCTCTGCTTGCTCTCCTCGGCTTTGGCTGACCGAGTCCTGGATCCCTGGCAGATGTAAAAAAAAAAAAGAAAAAAAAGAGGAGGAAACAGCTTGGTAGAGCAGGAGAGCAAGGGGGTGTTTCCCCTTGGACAGGGCTTGCCAACTTTTATTTCCTCTTTTCGTGGAGCCTGTGTGTGTTCGTAAACCCCATGTGATGCTGTCGTGGAGCCGAGGGCCACGAGTAGTAACTGTTGGTTTTTCTTTGCCTCAGGGGTGAACTCTGACACATGGATGGATATCCCTAAAGGCACCTCAGAAAGCTCATGAGTGGGACTTAGGCCTGTAGATGGTCGGTATGGTTTTGCTTTTTAACGGAAATTTTATCCATGGATAAAGGGAAGGGAAGCTCTGCTTCAGCAGAGCTCATTCCGGAGGGATGGAGAACAGGGGCAGGACCAGAGAAGGCTCTTGGAGGCCACGGCAGCTTCCAGGAAGTGGATCCGGATAACTCCAGCTATCCTCTCTGATAAACTACAGATAACATCAGAGAATTCCAAAAGCAGGCAGGAATACTTAAACCTTCACTAAAACAGTTTTAATATCGACTACTCTGCTTAATGCTTGGTGAAAAGAAGTCACAATTATTGTCTCAGAGCAATGAGACTGATCTGTGTGTTTTTAATTATGGGAGGGTGTTCTCTTCTAGTCGTGCATCCACTAATTTAATCTTGGGCAGCAACACTGAATTTTGGGGTTAAGAAAAAATTCTCATTTCTTGGCTTTTTTCTCTTTGGGGTTATGAAAAATGCTAATTTCTTGGCTTTTTTTTTTTTTTTTCTGTTGGGGTTATGAGAAATTCCGGGGTTAAGAAAATCGCTCATTTCTTGGCTTTTCCGTGTCTGGGGTTATGAAAAATGCTCATTTCTCGGCTTTTCCCTGCCGTGCCCCTCCCGCGGGCGGTGACTGGGGAGGCTCCCGAGGGGCCGGCGGACTGCGGTTGAGGCTCGGGGCTCACCAGTGGGACAGTTCTGAGGGGACTGTTATGAGGTAAATGAAGGCGGTAAATAAAGGTAAATAACGATGTTGCCGCCCCCGACCCGTCCCGCGCCCTCCTGAGGCGTGGGGGGGGGCGGGAAAAGAGCGGGAAAGGGACGGGCGGTGTTGGGGGCGTGGCCTCTCGAGATGCGCTGCGCCGATTGGCCGCGCCGCCCGGCGCGCAGTGATGCGTCACGGGCTGCGCCGCGCGGTGTGTGCCACGTGGGTGCGCGGGGCCCGGCCGCCGTCGCGCCCCCCCCGCGGGGCCATGGCCGAGCCGGGATCGGGGCCCGGCGGTGCCCGGGACGAGGAGCCGGGCAAGGAGGGAGCGGCGCCGGCCCCCAAGAAGCGGCGGCTGGCGGGCGGCGAGCGGTACGTGCCGCCGCCGCGGAAGCTGAGCACCGGCGTGAGCTTCGGCGCCGAGCACTTCGCCGAGACCTCGTACTACTTCGAGGGCGGGCTGCGCAAAGTGCGCCCCTACTACTTCGACTTCCGCACCTACTGCAAGGGCCGCTGGGTCGGGCGCAGCCTTCTGCACGTCTTCGGGACCGAGTTCCGCGCGCAGCCCCTGGACTTCTACCGCGCCGCCGCCCGGGCCGGCCGCCTGCGCCTCAACGAGGAGCCCGTCCGCGACCTGCACATCGTGCTCAAGGTGCGCGACCCCCGGGCCGCGCGGTCAGATAACCCTGGGGAGGGGTTGGAGGGGACAGTCGGCGCTCCCGGGGAATCTTTGCCCCTGTGGGGTTGGGGGCGTGTGGACCCTGCAGCTCCAGATGTGCCCCACAGGCCCCTGGGAATGGGAATATATGCCACGGGATTCATGCGGGGGCACGCACTGTTATTATCCTAAATCCGAGGGGCCAGGAGAAAAGGGCTTTAGTTTCACGCACACACACAGTATCAAGTTCCCTGTGCGTGACCACACTGAGCGGGGTTGTCCACAGGCTGGATCCCGGCTGACTGCCCGTATTCCCTGCAGAACAACGACTTCCTCAGGAACACGGTGCACCGGCACGAGCCGCCGGTCACTGCCCAGCCCCTCCGGATCCTGGCGGAGGACGAGGAGGTGGTGGTGGTGGACAAGCCCTCCTCGCTGCCCGTGCACCCCTGCGGCAGGTTCCGGCACAACACCGTCATCTTCATCCTGGGCAAGGAGCACGGGCTGACGGAGCTGCACACCCTGCACCGCCTGGACCGCATGACCTCGGGCGTCCTCATGTTCGCCAAGACCGCGGCCGTGTCCAAGAGGATCGACGAGCAGGTCCGGGAGAGGCAGGTCAGAGACCAGCAGGGCCAGGAGTCGTTGGTACCGTGTTCTCCTGCAGCAGGTTTGGCCCAAAATCAGGCAGATTTGGGGTCTAAACGAGCACGAGTTCCCTGAACAGGTTGTGATCGAGTTGCTCTTCTTACCTCTTGGTGCTTCTCGTCCTTAACAGGATAAAGGCAGAGTGAAAATTTAATTGAGTTTGATAATATTGGATTGGAAGGGATCTCCTCGAAATTTAGCTGGTTTTGGTAATGTTGGCTCGGAAGGGATGTCCTCAAAATTTAGTTGATTCTGGTAATATTGGATTGAAAATGTTAAGTTGAAAACCCTAAACACGTAACTGATTTTGGTAATACTGGGTTGGAAGGGATCTCTTAAAAATATAACTCATTTTGGCAATGTTTTGTTGAGAGGAATCTCATAAAATTTAATTGATTTATTTTTTTTTGGAAAGACTGAATTGAGAGGGATCTCCTAAAATTTAATTGATTTTGGTAATATTGGATTGGAATGATCTCCTAAAAATTGAACTGATTTTGGTAAGACTGGATAGAAAAGAATCTCCTAAAAATTTAATTGAATCTGATGATATTGGATTGGAATGATCTCCTAAAAATTGAACTGATTTTGGTAATATTAGATTGAAAAGGATCTCTTGAGACAGCTGAACTTGGGGTCTAAATGAGCCCAAGTTCCCCAAACAGCTCGTGGTTGTGTTGCTGTTTTTATCATATTAAGGATGAGAAACATCAAGAGATAAAGGCAGAGAAAAAATTCGGATGGGTTTGGTAATAGTGGATTGAAAGGGATCTCCTAAAAGTTTAAATGAATTTGGTAATTTTAGATTGAAAATACTAGGTTGAAAACCCTAAAAATTAATTGATTTTGGTAGTATTAGACTAGAAGGGGTCTCCTAAAAAATGTAATTGAATTTGGGTAATATTAAATTGAAAAGGATCTCCTAAAACTTTAATTGAATTTGGTAATAGTGGATTGGAGGGGGTCTCCTAAAAATGCAACTGATTCTGGCAATATTGGGTTGGAAGGGATCTCCTTGAAGTTTAATTGATTTTGATAATATTAGATTGAAACATTTGGTAATACTAATCGAAAACATTGGATTGAACCCCCTAACCATTTAACTGATTTTGGGAATATTGGACTGGGAGGGATCTCCTTCCCTAAAGGACTGTCCCAAGGGACTGTGCAAACTGACTGGGATTGTGCAAAGCAGCCAGAGAACAGGTTTATTTGTGAGCAGACACATGTCAATCGTCCAGTCTTTCGGCTTTCAAATTCCCATTTTTCCAGAGTCTCTTGACCCAAACAAAACTCTTTCAGGGATTGGCTTCAGGGCTGTAAACTAAAGGCTGCAGAGAGATGGCTCCTGGATTTAATATGAGGAAAACAGGCCGGACCCTTCTGTCCTTGATTTCCCAGCTAACTGGGGAAAATGTGAGGGGAATTTGGCTTTAAATAGCCCATTTAATTTTTTTTCCCCTCTCCTATTGTAATAAAATGCTGCCTATGGATGTATTTCATGGAAGGGAAAGGGGAGGAGGAGTGAGGATGGGGCTTGGGTGTATTTTCCTCTGTGTTTCCTGAGCCTTCCTCTTTGTGTCTCCCGGTAGCTGGAGAAGGAGTACGTCTGCCGGGTGGTGGGGGAGTTCCCAGAGCACGAGGTGGTCTGTGAAGAGCCCATCCTGGTCGTTTCCTACAAGGTGGGAGTGTGCCGCGTGGATCCCAAAGGGAAACCCTGCAAAACCATCTTCCAGAGGCTCAGCTACAACGGGAAGACCAGCGTGGTCAAGTGTCTGCCCCGCACGGGCCGCACGCACCAGATCCGGGTCCACCTCCAGTATCTGGGGCACCCCATCGTCAACGATCCCATCTATAACATGGAAGCCTGGGGCCCTGACAGGGGGAAGGGCGGGAAGATCGGGAAAACGGACGAGGAGCTCCTGAAGGCGCTGGTGGAGGAGCATCGTTCCAAGCAGAGCCTGGAGATCTTGGGTATTGCGGAGGAGGACTTGAACTCCGGTGGTGAAAATAAAGACTGTGGGGATTCAGGTGACTGCACAAAGTCTGCAGAGGCTGATCCTATAAATGGGAATTCCTGCCCTGCTGAGGATGTGAAGGATCCTGAGAGGGACACAAAGGATCCTGAGAGGGACACGAAGGATCCTGAGAGGGACACAAAGGATCCTGAGAGGGACACAAAGGATCCTGAGAGGGACACAAAGGATCCTGAGAGGGGTGCAAAGGATCCTGAGAGGGACGCAAAGGATCCTCAGAGGGACGAGAAGGATCCTGAGAGGAATGTGAAGGATCCTGAGAGGAATGACACAGCAGCTTGTCCACCAAACTCTGATATCAACCAGGAAACGCTTGAGAAAGACAAAGAACTCGGTTCATGTGGGAATCAGGACGGGCAAACGGGACAGAAGGGTTGGGAAGAGAAGGACCCTTTATGTGTGGAGTGTAGGATGAGCAGGCGGGACCCTTCTCCCAAGGAGCTGGTGATGTTCCTCCACGCCCTGCGCTACAAGGGAGCAGGGTTTGAGTATTGCTCCGACATGCCCGAGTGGGCAAGGGATGACTGGGAGGAATGACCAAGGATATCTTGACACCTATGGACACTGCTGGCTGGGAAAACGGCTTGGGAAGACCAAAGACTGACTTTTCAATGTTACTGAGGTGAACAAACTGCCTGGAGCTGGGGTGGGAAGGATCACTCTGTCCTGACTCCTGACACTGTGGAAAATGAGCAGGGAAACAGGGCCTGAGGTTTATGTTGCCCCCCAGTGATATGGCACTTGAGGGCAACAAAGACCAAACTCTGCTGGTCACAGGCAGCTTTGCCTTCACCTCAGTGGATTCTGGATCGATTATCCACATGGGTAATGAAGTGCATGCACTAAAAGTCAATAACTGGCTTGCCTGCTGGGTTCCTGTGTCTTAAAATACGAGCTGCTGGATGTCATATCATAAACCCCCCTATTTTTATGGTGTTTTATTGTCAGATTGATTTTAAAACTCAAATATTGTCACTGAGAACGCTGTGAGGTAAAACCAGAGCACTGTGATCCCAACTTGTTTTGTGCCTGCTGTTTGTCAGCAAGGCCAAATTGCCTTTAAAATTCCTCTACCAGTATTCGTTCAAATAATTATTTAATTTAAGGTTAGTAGTTCTGGGTGCTGATGTCTTGATATTGGGCCTGGCTTTGGAGGTATTGGTCCCCAGATTTTGTCTTTAAGAGATTTGTTTAATATCAGTTCAGTGTGACAGTCGCCTTTCAAGATAAACGAAAGCTGCTCTATGGACCAGAATACTTATTAAAAAAATAATTTTATATTAATATATTCCCAGAATGATAAGTACCACTATAGCTCTTATTTTCACCAGTGTTTACACAGTCAATCTTTGGCCTCTGGGAGGGTTGTTATAATAATTTTGGTGACCTCAGGTAGCTATCCCACAGGAATTACAGCTTTCCTTCTAAAGTCACTTGATGATGTCACCAGGATCAGGATGTGGATACTAAACCAGAATAATCCAGTGCATACTTGCAGTAGCTCAAAGGAGCCAAGTGATTTCTTTCTCTGCTGGGTCATCCAGCTGATGTGTTGAATATTTCCATAAAAATTCACTCAGGTTTGAGCTTTATTCTTCTTCCACATTTACTTTAATCACAGATATTTGGAGAGATGATGCTAAAAATCAGTGTTCTTTAAATTTTTCATGCATTGAAATACATATTTCATGGAACTAAATGAAACTTGGGTACCTTCAGTGTATAAAAAAGGGTAGCTTGCAGCTGTTACTGGATTTGGATGCAGGGGTAAGGGGAAGGATGTAGGGACAACAGTTATATTATACTTTGAGATGTCCCAAGTTACAGTGGGAGGTGTTTGGTAAGAAAGTTTTACAAGAAATAAGCCCCTGAAAGGAATTTTCCTGGCTTGGGCTGGTAGATGGAAGCTGGGGCCAAAGGGCCTGATGAGGAACTGGAGCTCAGTTCTGCCTTTTCCCTTTTTCCTGGAATAATTACTGCCTTTCACATCTTTTAATTCCTGGTCAAGAAACCCCTGGGCTTCTGTTTGCAGGATACTTTAAACAAGGCAGATCTAGGCTTGATTTCACAATGATCCTACCACCAACCGCTTTGTATTTAATTTTATTTAAAGTTAAAACAGCGTTTGCTGTTTGGTTAGCAGGGAAGGTGTCACTCTTGGAGATGTCCTGTCATAAATTCCCATATCGGGTGGGTTCTGAGGTAAATACTGGGTCCTGCTTGTGGGCAGAAACTTTTCTGTACAAAACAGAAGAATTCATTTCCCTCGTACAGCTTTATTTGGATACACCTTGGCAGTGCTGGGTGAAGGGTTGGACTTGATCTTAAAGGTCTTTTCCATCCTAAATGATTCTATAATTCTGTCTTTACATTTCATCCTAGCTGTGGCCCCTAAATTCCTCAGGACACTCCATCCTGGCTCTGACCCCTGAATCCCTCAGGACGCTCCCGGCTGTGGTCCTAAAGCCCTCAGGATGCTCAATTCTGGCTGTCCCGGGCGGCATCTCTGCTTCCCCTTCTCCCCGAGGGGAGAGGTGGGAATTCCGCGGATCTGAGGGGATGTGCTTCCCGCAGAAATGAGAGGAAAAAAAAAAATGATTTTACGGAAAAGCAATTACTCCCGACGAGGATGGGATTCGAACCCACGCGTGCAGAGCACAATGGATTAGCAGTCCATCGCCTTAACCACTCGGCCACCTCGTCACGGCAGGCTTTTCCTTGCTCGGCCTATAAGGAAGCGCGCCCACCGCCTCCGCCATCTTATCTCGCACGCCGCCTCCCCCCGCGCGGCGCTGCCGGACGCGCGAACCTGCGCGGCCACAGCGCGGAGCGAGGCCACCCCAGGGGGACCGGGCACCCCGCGCAGCCCGTGCGGTTACCGCGCCATCCTCGTCACCGCGGCTGCGGGCGCGCGGGCCGCGGGTGGCGGCGAAATGGCAGCGGTGGGGCGATAAGCGGGGGGCCGCCATGTTGTACGGCAAAAAGGGGGCCGCCATGTTGTACGGCGGCGCAGGCGTGTCGTCACGGCGCGGGGAGGGCGGTTGGATTTGAACGGGGCGGTGGCGACCGGGAGCGGGAAGCGGGGTCGGGAACCGGGAACGGGGGAGCCCCGCCGCGCCCCCAGCGCCAGGTGAGAGCGGCTGCGGGGTCCGGCGAGGGGAGGAGGCCGTGCTGGGGCAGCGCGGGAGTGACGGCGGCCGTTTGCCCGTGTCCGGGGCGGATCCTGCGAGCGTGGGAGAAGGCGGGAGGAGAAGGTCGGTGCTGCCCCGGGAGCCGCTGGATGGGAGGGAGGGCTGAGGCGTGTGGGGATAAACCCCCCGATAAACGCGGTGTGGATCGATGCGAAGTAATTCGTGGCTGGGGAACGTTTTAATGAGGTGTAATTAATGATACGAGTGATTGATAAGCGCCTGGGCTGTGGCGCGGGGACCGTGAGGGGGAACGGCCCGGGAGCAAAAAGAGACGGGAAAAGGGGCTCAGTCGGCTTGTGCCAGTGGGGAAAAGGCCGAGGAGGGCCGGGGTGGGCGGCGGGGGATGGACTGGAAGGACTGTGGAGAGATTCTTGTGTTTCCAGTGTCAAGTAGGAGAATAAAGAGGGATGGTCGTTTATCAGCAAAGCATCTTCCCAGCTCGACGCCATGCTCTCGTTTCTCAAGGATTGTAGATAACTTCCAGGAAAGATTAGGGAAGAGCGGCTGAGGAGGGTGGCTGGGCTGTGAATTCCACATTAATAGCAAATTAATGTGCGATTAAAGGCAGAGCGATCGGGGGTTTTACAGCCACACGCTGCTCTCCCCCAGCACCCGCACGGCCTGTCGTGTCCCCTGTCCCTTCTCCGTGTGCTCAGCCTGACCCAGGACGGCTGGATTTACACCCAAAACCTCTGGGACGCTGGCCTGAAAGGTGCCTCTGGATTTGGAGCCCCAGAGCTGCTGGCCCTGGAAGCCAAGGGTCCCTCAGGCTGCTTTGGGCTGGGACCAGCATAAACCTGCTGGTCTCGCTGAGAGGAATTAATGCCTTTAAACCGAAAGAAGGGAGATTTAGGTTGGATATTGGGAAGAAATCCTTCTCTGGGAGGTTGGTGAGGTCCTGGCACAGGTTGCCCAGAGAAGCTGTGGCTGCCCCATCCCTGAAAGTGTCCAAGGCCAGGTTGGACGGGGCTTGGAGCAACGTGGGCTAGTGGAAGGTGTCCCTGCCCGTGGCAGGGGGTTGGAATGTGATGGTCTTTTAGGTCCCTTGCAACCCAAACCATTCCAGGATTCCGTGAATTACCCTGCAAAAATGAAACAGGAAGTCAATAAGGTTCATTCCAGCAAGTCAGCTTCTGTGTACAAATACAGTGTCACTCTGTAAAGCTTTTCTGGTTCTCATTTTTTTTTATACCTTCACATGTAACAGTGTCCTCAAAATAGTGCTTTTTTTTTTTTTTTTTCTGTTTAGGCAAACAGAAATTTATTGAGGAAAAATACCTACTGGCTTAGTGTTGCCTAAAAATTGTCCTGCCTTAAAATTGTGTTTGAGCAAAACAGAATGTTACTTTTCCCTTCCACTGTAACTCAAGCCAAATATATCGTATATGACACCATATCATGCAATAGAATTAATATAATACCATATAATTCAAAGTAATACCCAATAATAAATTCCCAATAGCATTTCATGGGATTTAGCATTATGAACTTTCTTTTTCCTACCCAGGGCTTAGTTTTAGCTTGGAAAATCAGGGTGGGTTTGTGGTTTCCATCAGCTACACTCAGGTAACTGCATTGGTGGACAGGGAGAGCAGTGGATGTTGCTCATCAGAGGGAAATTATCCATGTTCCTGAATTCCTGATAGTTTAAAGAAGATGGAGCCAGGCTCTTCTGGTTGTATCTAGAGAAGGAACAGGAAGCAACAAGCTGAAATACCGTAAATTCACCTTAGAGGGTGAGGAAAGTATTGACTGAAAAATGTCTTGTGCGTCAGAGCAAACTTTGTCTTGGGTAAGGTTTGAACACATTTATCTCCAGCAGTTACCAGAATCTTAATTTTAAATAAGAGGTTGCCTAACCAGTAATGCTTAAACTGCTATAGCACAGTTCACTGTTAGCACAATATATGTATAATATGGAAATATGTATAATATATGTATAATAACAGGAAAGCGTGGAATTGAGAGGCCTGTGCTTTCTGTAACCAGGGAAAAATGGAGAGGAAAAAAATACAGCATCAAAAGCTAATAACTGATTGTGGGGTTATGCTGTTTTCCTGCTGAGGTTCGTTAATGTTTTTTGGATTTTGGTTCTGTATTCTGTAGGGAAAGCACATCCTTCAGCCATGGACAAGATTTACACAGACCCGAACATGGAAAAGTGAGTTGAAACCTTCTAAGGAATTTTACTGTGGTGTAAATATTGTCCTTTAGAGGCAAAACTTTTCTTAATGCACTCCAGCATCCCCTGAATGAAATGTGGTTTGCATTGCCAAGAAGAACAGGGAGTTTCTCTGACAGTGTTTGGGAAGCTCTGAGGGGATTTCGTGGCTGTGGATGGTCTGGAGATGAACTGACCTTGGGGGTGGGAGGGCAGTCTGAGTTTTCCAAAGCTTATTTCATTGGGAAGCAGTGCTGAAATGATCAATCTGCTCCAAGCAAGTAGTTTATTTGATTCCACACTCATAAAAACAACAGAGAAATCAGTTTATTAACCTTGAAACCGTGGCAGGGCTGTTCAGGAAACGCACCTCGGAGCGATTTCATATCCTAATACCCGTTTCCCTTTCTCCCCTCCAGTGATAACACGGAGCACATCAGAGGGAAGAGACTGTCCTCCGTGAGTAACTTACAGCATTCCTCAAGATAAAACTCTGGGAGGGAGGGAAGGAGGAAAGGGAAGCTGGGAGAGGTGGTTTTTTTTTAACTCACTGGTGTTGAAGAAAAACAACCTGTTAGACTGAGAGGCCCTGCTAGCTCCTAGAAACTCTCTCCATCCAAGAAATGAGCTCTTGGAGTTGGAGCTGCTCTTCTCAACTGTTCTGTTTTCTTTCAGATTTTAAAGGCTCCGCGAAATCCTCTGGATGATCTGGGAAGTGGGAATGAACTGACCCAGGTAGGTCTGTCGGGCCCTTTCTTCCCGATGGCCCTCGACGTGTTGCTGGTTAAACTGTGTCCCTGGAATAATGCAGGTGGTTTTAATGCACCAATTTTAATAATAGCACACTATTTTTTTTGGAGGGGGGAGGTCTGTGTTTCATGGAAAGCTGTGCTCATGGATATCAAAGTGTCGTGGTTTTTATTGGCAGGATATTAATAGAGAGAGGCGAAGGAAGAGCTCACGCCGCGTCAGCTTTGCCAACACCATCAAGTAAGTGTGAGCTGAAGGATGCAGGTCTGCAGCCTTTATTTAAGCATAAAATGCAGGGAATAATCTGTTTCCCCCCAGATATTGCCCTCACTGAATAATCACAAATGATTGCAAGCAGCAAGAAGTTGGTTTTTGTATTTTATATATTTATGTTGATTTGGTTCGAACCCTGGAGAGCCATTATTAATTTTCTCTTCCCAGCTGGGGAAAAAAACCCACAAAAGCAACAGTTCAGTGAATTTAATATAATTAGGATTTTTTCTTTCGTGTTCCGTGTTTAGTGGTTTCCATCTTAAGTATCAAAATGGCATCATATGGTATCATCTCCCTGTAAAACACGCTTGGGTTCAGTACACTTCTGGCTTTTGATATCTCATTTCAGGACACATGAAAAAAATTGAATTTAGGGCTGATTTATTTTTTTAAATTTGCTTTGAAAGAGATGATTCTGTATTTTAAAAAACTGGTGGGTTTTTTTTTTTTTCTTAGCTACAGAGTCTTCCAGCGAGATCTTAAGAACGGCACATCAGAGAATGAAAATAGAGGTAAAACTCCTTTTTATTCTTCTGATAGGATTCCCAGACTATTAACAACAAGATTTAACTTGGATTTCAGAAGTCAGGCTTGTCAGTCTGGGGAAAGGAACAGCATGGTCAGATCTTTGTCCTGTGCTGGCTGAAAACCCCTTGGTCACAGCATTTTTGTCACAAGAAGACACATGAAGAGAACTTCAGAACAGTTTCTGTGCAGTTCACTCTTGTCTCAGTGGTTTTTAGAATCAGAATCACGTAGGTTAGAAAAGACCTTTGAGATAATCAAGTCCAACCATGATCATGCTTCTCACATTGTAATTTTGTCATGTGTTTGTTATTTTTAGAGCATGCAGCAGATAAGGATGATGTCTTTACTCATCAGTAAGTATCATGTCTGGTGGATATTTATTGTAATTTGATATTTATTGCTAAACTTTTTCCCTCAGAGGCAGAAAAGATGTTAGTGTGGCCTCAAAGTTCTTGTATATAAAACACAGTGATGGGATTTTTAAAATTAAAATGACCTGGTGGTAAAATAACAGATTTAGTCACTTTGTATGCGTGAAGGGGAATTTCGCAGAATCATAAGTTCTATGAAAAATAAAGAATTGATCTTTCTTACTTGTCACTGAGGAATTAAACTGCCCCTGTATGTTGAGCACTGGCTTGTGGAAGGCTAAGATGAGATAATTTCATGGGGAAATTAAGATTGTGACTCAAATTAGAATATATTGAAGACAAATACATAGTGTCTGGTATCTGCCACGGAGTTCTGTGCAACACAGTTCTCTGTCTGTTCAGTTTATTGCTCAAGGCTCCTCTTTGAAACCTTTTAACCAACTGAAATCTTCTGAACCTTCTAAAAAGCTCATTATCTCACCCGACTTTTGTAGGGATGAGGAAACTGAAGCTGTTTCGTGTGAGATCACTGGTGAGTTGGGAAATAAAATTAATAACAAAACGACTGTCTTTATTTAAAACTATTGATTGTGTTTTTAGTAATTTTAACATGTCTAAAGTAATCTCCCTGATTTGGGAGGGCTCTTCCTTGCATGGGCTTTTGTCCCACAAAGCTGTTTACAAGGATCCTGTTGTAGAAGTCTGCGTGGCCCTTCCACATCCTGAAGGGAGCAATGAAAATGTTTTTCAGAGTATATTTGGGTTTAATTTTATCTGTTTACTCAGTGCATTGAACTTCAGCACTGTGGATAAAAGAATAAAAAAATAGCACAAGAACTGGAGTATTCCCTTTTCTTTCCACAGGGATGAACACTTTGCTTCACGCCCCCATCCAGGCTTTGGTGCAGGAAACTGAGGTATGGTGAAAGCTTTTAGTTTTTTGGTGCTGAAAATACCAGCCTCCAAAATATATCACAAGAATTTGTGTGGTAAATGGTGAAAAATGTTGACTGTCTAAAAAATTAAACCTTTGTGTATTCGCAGAAAATTCTTTTGCAAGTGAATATTCTATGTTTTGAAGTATTTTCCTGCTCTGGTAGCCATTAGACTGCAACATGAATAACTCTTGCTTCTCTAACTTCTCAGTACTGAGCTAGTTCCTCTATTCTCTTCAATTCTTGTCTAAGAATATACAAAAGAGCTGATGTTTCAGATGGGTCTGTGTATTTATAAAACAGCAAATATAATTTGAAGCAAACGTGAAACTGTTCTTCATATATTCATTATACCTGATAAAGTGTAGTGTTCTGTCTTATTACTGGCCAGTTTTTGCCCCCAGCTTTAAAACTGTAAACCCTCTCTGTTAAAGAGAATAAAATCTCCCTAATCAGTGGTGGAAAGGTGTTTTAAAACATCCAGCCTGGTGCTGCTGCTTTGGGGCAGGTGCATAATAAACTGGGCAAGGAGAAACCTGTAGTTCCCTAAAATAAAAGGTGGAAATCGCATCGTAGAGAAATAGAAAAGACTGATCCATAAGGCTCAGTTAATTGTTGCTTGCTTACTAAGATGTGGCTGGATATGAAATGTAAAATGAGACACAATATGGTGAATAATTAAGTCACTGTCCTTTCTTTGAATATGTTATTGCTTATCAGGGAGGCCTGTAATCAGTAGGTTTTTGGGTTTTTTTTGAAAAAGAGAGATATAGAGCTAGAACCTGAAGACTGCATTAGCCGACTTCTGCTTTAAATAGAATAAACCACTTTTGTTTTACGTGCCAGTCACTGGGTTCTTCCTGTTTTTTTTTTTTATTTTTTTTAGTGGCATGACGTGGACCAGGCTGTTCTGAGGGCGAGCAGGCAGGACACCACCCTGCTGTTCTCGGAGGAGAACGCGGTGGAGATGACGGCCAGTCACACGGCCCTGATCTCCCAGAACCTCGGGGCCCAGCAGGCCGACGGAACCGACAGAACAGACATCGCCTTCCTGGCTGGGCTGGGCTCCAGCCACGGCAGGGCAGAAGCCAGCCAGGAATTCGGTTTGCTCCCCGACCCCGCCAATCACCCGTGCCCGTCCCTGGAAGAGAAGGAAGAGGCTCCTGCTGTAAAAAAAGTAGATTTCAATGAATTTATGCAGAGCCTGAAGTCAAAGAAGAAGGCACCGAATCCTGCTGAGGGACCTGACAAGGAGAATGTTTTCTTTGCCCCTTGCCAAGGCTTGGAAAATGTGGCACTATTGCCTGAGGAATTTGTCTGTTCCCACGAGCCGCTGCACACCTGCAATGTAACACAGGTCTTTCGAGGGCAAGAAGGTGGGATGGAAATGACAAAATGTGAGGCAGCTGGTGTTAGGGTTCCGTTCTCTGGTGTTGGTGAGGCCCCACCGGAGCAGCTGGAGTGTGGGGATGTCACCCAGGCCTTTGTGGATGATGGGATGGACATGACAAGCAGTCACACTGCAGAAGTGTCCTTTCCCTGCTCCAGCGTTGGGAATCAAAGTCTCCACTTCCAAAAGGATTCCCCATCCACAGAGTTAGATAATTCTGTGTTGAAGAGAGCATCTAATCAGAACCTGACTCAGCAGGACCCTCAGCTCTGTGCAGACAGGAAAGCAGCAAATGCTGAAGACAGAGGAGCCCCTGCAGTGCTGAGAGGGGTGAGACAGGAGGCCAGGGCAGTGTCTGCCATCCGGGGAGCCGTGTCCTCTGAGACCGTCTTCCGAGGGGACAAAACTGTTGTGTTTTCCAAATGTGAGGACATGGAAATGACTGGGAATTACACAGACATCATCTACAGCAGCAGCACCACGGGAACGGACGCTTTATGTGATAAAACTTGCGAAAAACCAGGGAGTACAAACCCTGTGCTAGCAGGGAGCAGACACCCAGCACTTGGGAATGCGGACATCCCACAGGGTGTAGCAGCCGGAGATTATGGAGCTGCTGTGTCCTATAAAACCAGAGCACTTGAACTGCCTTCAGCCTCAGATGGACGTATGGAAAACATGTCCCAGGCTCACGATCCTGCTGCAGCAAATGCTGGGTTTGGCTCATGTGCAGATTTGGGTGCTCCAAAGAGCAGGTTCCATCCCTCAGCACAGCCTCAGCTGGTTCCTTCAGGTGAGAAGACAGTAATATTCCCAGGAGAAGACATGGACTTGACTAAAGCTTGTGTTAAGGAAGACAGAAAGAGTGTTGATAATGAACCTCCCACTGCAGTGTTCACCCCTGTCACCTGCAAACCTCATTTTCTGGATAACAGATCCACAGCTTCCAGTGGAGCTGAGCAGGAAGAAATGGAAATAATGAAATGCCACGCTGTTGTCATCAGTGATCAAAGCAGTGGGACAACTGCAGAAACCAGACAAATGCTTTGTAAAACCATTCCAAGAAAGAACCAGAACAAAAATGTCATTGAGGGTGCATATTTCACAGATATGGACAAGGAAAATATTGAGGTGATGAGTATCAATGGGAATATTAAAAGGAGCCAGGCTATTGAAATGAATACTAAAAATCTTCAGATGATTGGAAAAAACAACTTCCAGGCAAGTGATCTGAGTTCCTGTGCCAGGAGCACATTTTTGTTCCAACAGCCAGACAGAGGAGTCCCTGGGAATGTCGTCACTGACACTGGAGCATCCCTGTCTTTGCGAAGCCAAGAAGTTGTTGGGTCACAGCCTTTGGAAAAACACCTTCCAGACCCTTCCGTTTCCTGCACGAGCGACAGAACAGTCACGTTTTCAGGTGATCAAAGCATGGACATAACCAAAGCTTATCCTGCTGCCCTTGATGATGCTCCTATTAACACAGGACAAGAGTCCAATAATAATAATAATAATCAAAATAACACAGTATCCAAGCAGCTGCAAAACCAGCCCTTCCCGTTTTCCGGTCATCTCGGTGTGGATATCACCAGTCAAACTGCAGCAATGGAACGTGGGGACTTGAACACGAAGAAGCGAGTTTTTACTCCTTTGGCTCCAAGTGGTTCGTTTATTTTCGGTGACAAGCCTGCTCCCTCTGGAACGAGAGGAAATGAGCAACTTGGAACAGCCTTGGGAATAAATGCAGATTGCCAAAACTCAGGGAGGCAAGAGAAAACCCACCCTGTGAGGGCAGTAAACAAAGTGCTGCCAACTCAAGTGGATCCTGAGAGACGTTTTCCGACGGGTAAAACACATGCTTCAGGAGAGGGTTTAAAACCTCCCTCAGCTGATGGGCTGCAAGCTGGGACATCCCAGCTGCAGAGGGGAAGTTCCCAGTTGCCTTTGCTTGGAGGAAAGTCAGCTGTGGTTCCCTCAGGTGAAAGCATGGACTTGACTGGAAGCTGCGTGGTGAGGGTTCCAGATTACACCATCAACGTTGTTCTATCACAGCCAAAAGCAGCGCCTGGAGACCCTGATCAAGGTGGAAATGAAATCAAGCCCTTAAAAAGGGGGCCCACGATGACAGCAAATAATCAGGAGCAGCCTGTGGGACAGGAGAACTCCTCGGTGTATGGCAGGAAAACGTTGCCCATGAGTAGTTTAAAGCATTTTGCTGATGAGAAACCAACCCTGTTTTCAGAAGATGCCGATGTGGACACCACCAGGAGTCACACGATGTCAGCAGACAACAGAGTCATTTTCCAGAGGAAGACTTCAGACGATGGCACAGCCTTGATTTCTGGAGTTCAGACTTGTGTTTTCCCCTCTGACATGGAAATAACTAATCTTGATCCCTCTGCAGTCAGTAAATCCGTGGGGAAAGCTGCATCTCAGGGGGTGCTCAGCACAGCTAAAAGGACTGGAAGGGAAAGCTTGAAGGGAATACCAGGGGAGAAGACTGTTTTGTTTTCCCTGAGCAATGAGGACAATGACACGGAGCCACACAGCTGCCATAGGCCACAGGATTGTGCAGGATGAGGGAGGGCTCCATTCCCTCTCTTCAGGTCATCCTGTGAGGAGTGTGATGATCACAGGTAGCCGGGCTGACGTGGGCATTTCCACGTCTTTCTCTGCTGATAAAACCACAGGAATAGTTGTATGTGGTGTTCAGCCAAACTCTGGTGAGGAGGCTGGACTTCCCAACAGCCAAGTTACGATGTTTCCTGAGGATGACATGGAAATGACCAAACCCTCCCACGGAGCTTTGGCAGAGAACCCCCTCCAGGGCTGGC